GCAGGGAGCCCGATGCGGGACTCGATCCAGGGACTCCAGGATCATGACCTGAGCCGAAGGCAGTCACTTAACCAACTGAGCCACCCAGGCGCCCTATAATGGGGGTTCTTATGTTGGATGATTGATATTTAAACATTAAGAAGATTATACCAAACTTTTAGAATTTGCACAAGCATTTCTTTTTAAAGTATAAGATTAATAAGTAAAATATTTTTTTCCCATCAAATGTTGTAATGAATTAAAATTAAAGTGAAGGGACTAATGTCTTAATCTTTTACAAGTCAGGATTTTTTAAAGATTATTTGTTAATGCAATGGAAAGGAGTTATTTAATACTGCATGAGACATTATTATGTTTACATCTGAGGCCAGAGATGTTGCTCTCTCTTCTGATCTTTCCTCAGACCTAGCACATTGTCTTGAACAATAAAAAGTGAGAAATGAAAAAAAACTGACTTTCAGATAGAGTGGATAAACAGTGATCGCATATTTTTATCTCTTCATACAACTATGAATTTGCAAATGAATTTAAATTCTTTATTATAGTTGGTGGCTAAAGGAGTAAAGAATTCTGATATGTCTCCACCTTTGGGACAACATGAAGCAGGTGGCTCTCCATCAAAGCAACAGATGAGATCTGTTATTTCTGTGACTTCAGCTTTGAAAGAAGTGGGAATGGTAAGTTTCCTAAAATTTAGAACTCCTCAAAGTGAAAGTTTCTTAGAAGGATTAAATTTAATGAACTTACATTAATTCCTAATGTATTAAATTTTTTAGGGAAAATAAAATAACTTCTTAAGATTTTTGTGTATGGTTTATTGTACGTATTGGAGCCTCACTGCTCATAGGTTTATATCTAGGACCATCTAATACATAAAAATAGATTTAACTGATTGTCTCTTATTTTTACTTTAAAAGAATATTGAACAAGTAAAATATATGCAGAAATGTACAAAAAATAATGCAAAAAACATTTTTATACCTCAGTTCTCACAGTTAACAAAGGTTCCTTTTTTTTTTAACGAAGGTTCATTTTTTATTTAAATAATGTCTCTTTGGTACTTAATTAACTTCAGGAATAGTGTCCAAGACATGTTTACATTTATTTTTAAATTTTTGGCATAATAGATGTTGGAAGACTTAATATAACTACACTTAATCCATCAATTATTTCTTTTACCTTCTACGTATGAATCTCTGTCATGCTATATGAATACTGAAACAAAGAATTGTGGGCAAGTAAAAAGTTTAAACTTAGAATTATGTGTCAGGTGTTCATCTAAAATGTGAAAATTCTGTTCTGGGATTAAAGGAAATGGGCTCTTGATAAGGAATTTTAGCCTAGAATTTAACACACAGCAAGGAAAAAGTCTATTGAATTATATAACACATTACCTTGATTTTCTCTTGTCTTTTTAATTAATGTCTCTGCCTTTTAATTGTTGAGTTTCATTAAGTTTTTGCAGACAACACTGATGTTACTGATACACCAATTTTTTTTATAGCCTTTGTGTTTATCTTGAAAATAAGACTGAGTAGGAAAATACAAATTTCTTGGTCACTCTCAAGAACTTCATATACAAAACTATTGTTCTTCAAGTAGTTTTAGTCTCTTTTTTCTTTCCGATAACGATTTTGCGTGTGCTGCATTGTTCACTTCAACTTTAGATACCACTGTGTGGTTTCCTTCCTGGTACCCAGTCTCACATCTCAACTAGCTGTTCATCTCTCTGGTTGTAGCGACTGCTAATTCCTGACTACTTTATTGGGTAAAATGCTCTTTGTCTCATTTACATGTATTACTTTAAAACTGACCACTATACTCTTTTGTATTTTCCTCAAATATTACAAAATTTGAGGTAATCTGTATAATGAAATGGTTTTTCTTTATGTGTTGTCTTCGTAAATACTCCTTACTTAAAACTTTGAAAAATGCTCTTTTCTTACTTTGTATCTTTCAGATACTTTTGCTTTTATAGCTTTCAAAACTAATTTCTTCTTTTCATGTGTTTAAAAATTCTCATTGGTCTAGAGCACTATGATTGTACTAATCAAGACAGACTTTATATTATTGTTGGTATAAAGGACTCAGAACTTATTTTTATTATTCTCTTTGCTTATGGAGAGAAGCCAATTCTCAATTATGTTTGGTAGTATGGCTTAATAGGAATATATATACATGAAACATAAAGACAGCTTCAAAATAACACAGCCTAGCCTAAATTACTTTATCCACCAAAACTCTCTAGCTTTAATTAAGAGATTATATGGGTAATCAGTTGGTTAGGTGTCTGACTCTTGATTTCAGCTCAGGTCATGATCTTAGGGTGGTGAGATTGAGCCCCATGTTGGGCTCTGTGCTGTGTGTGGAGCCTGTTTAAGATTCTCTGTCTCTCCTTCTCCTCCTTCCCCTCCCTCACGTGCATGCACACTCCCTCTAAAAAAAATGGGGGGGTGGGGAGTGGAGTATATGAGTTAATTTTCTTTTTATTTCTACCATTGACCTAAAATCACCAAAAATCAGATGCCAGAAAGGAAGAGGATATAGTTAAATATGTGATCAGTAATCTAAAAATAAGATAAATAGTTGAGAATTGGCCCTTCTATTAAGTCTATTACTTGATTATATGTAACTATTTCTCGTTTCCAATAATGAAGGAAGCTATGTTAACATTTTACAGGGATAAAAAAATTCACAAGGAGCAATTTAACGAAAAACAAAAAGTAACAAAAATACTTAAGTTTTTAAGGTAGACATTTAAAATAACATTTCTTACTTCGTAACTATCTGTATTTATAGGACAGAAGTTTAACTGAGACCCAGGAAACCTCAGAAGACATGCAGAAGACTAACACTGCTATTTCAGTAAGTACAATTTTCAAACTCTGTCAATCATTTTACTTAATTGTATAGATATTAAAATATAACACTTTAACTGTTTCAGAGTAAGCGAGAAATACTACGTAGATTAAATCAAAATCTTAAAGCTCAAGAAGATGAAAAAGGAAAGCAATGTCACTCTGATACTTGTGAGATAGTTGTTAATGAAGATGCCAAAGAGCATGAAAAAGAAAAATCGGTTTCATCTGATCGCAAGAAATGGGAGGCTGGAGGTCAACTTGTGATTCCTTTGGATGAGTTAACATTGGACACATCCTTCTCTGCAACTGGAAGTATGTATCAAATGTTAATATTCTGTGATGGTCTAGCACACATGTAAACTTGTAGACTGGATACTTGGAAAGAAAGAACACTTAGAGGGGTTGAGAAAGGCTGGAAAAATTTCTTTGTATGTGAAAAACGGAGAAAACTATTCAACCTTAAGAATAGCAAGGATTTTTATTACGATATAGTGTGTGGTATTGGAGAGGGAACTAATATTATATATTTAAATTGTATTACTTTAACTCTTTCTACCAATTGTATTACTTTAATCTGTTACCAGGAATAATTCCTGATGAGAACCAAAATAGCGAACTTTGACAGAATCTCAGTAAGTTCTCTTAGGTATGTAGCCAAGGGTATGGAAAAGATCTTACTTAATGATTTATTTATTCAGCAATAATTATTGAGCAACTGTTTTCTTGCATTGTCCAAGGCACAAGAGAGAGATACGATAATAAATAAAAACATGTGCTCTTGTGGAGCTTACATTCTGAAAGGGCAAGTTTGATTGTCAACCAACTAAATATAGTTTCAAGTAATTTTTTTTTTAAAGATTTTATTTATTTATTTGACAGAGAGACAGAGACAGTGAGAGAGGGAACACAAGCAGGGGGTGTGGGAGAGGGAGAAGCAGGCTCCCCACTGAGCAGGGAGCCTGATGCGGGGCTCAATCCCAGGACACTGGGATCATGACCTGAGCCAAAGGCAGACGCTTAATGACTGAACCACCTAGGCACCCCAGTTTTAAGTAATTTTCTTAATGAACTATTTTCATAGAATTCTTTCTTGCATTGGAGAAAAGCTCAAAGACTCTAACCTATGGTGTCTTTTATTTTGTTTACTTATTCAGCAGTTCTTTCTGAGTCCCATTAAATGCCACACATTCCTCAGCAATGAAGTTACAATAATGATTAAGACATAGTCCCTTCCCTTAAGGAGCTTAGGGCCTGGTGGAAAGGGAGACAAGTAGAGGCAATTGTAATTGATAAGGAATATACTAGAAATTATCATAGGCTACTGTAAGAATATGTATTAGGACATAAATCAGTCTTGGGGAAGCCAAGGAAATAATTTGTGGAAAAAGGGATGAGCCAAGGGATAAGTAGTTAACTAAACCAAAAGCCAAGCCAAGTTTTTTAAGGATAGAATAACCAGGACCCAGGTGAGAGAGCATGTAAAATTCAGGGAACTTGGTATAATTTAGCATGGATGGCTAAAATTCAGAAGTTAAGACAAAGAATGGCAAGTAAGAAGCCTTCAAAGGGGTAAGCAGGGTCAGATCATGAAGGGTACTATACATTGGCTCTCTCAAACTGTATGAACTTACTCTGAGTGCAGAGAGCAGTCTTTGAAACAAGGGTTAGCACATGTTTTCTGTGAATGCCAGATAGTAATTATTTTAGGCTTTGCAGGCTATAAGGACTCTGTTGGAACTTTTCTACTCTGTCACTATAGTGTAAAAGTAGCAATAGACAATATGCAAATGTATTGGCATGGCTGTGTTTCCAGTAAAATATTTTTTAGGGGTATTGAAATTTGAATTTCTTAAAATTTTCTTTAATGTCTTCTATTTCTTTTCTCAGACTTTCTGTTTTTCATTGCTATAAAGAATATTCATGATTGTTTCCTGGAAAATTTTTATAATAACTTTTAAAATCTTTGTTAGATAATTCCAGTATCTGTGTTATATTTGTGTTGGTTATTAATCAGTATCCATCTTGCATGAGATAATCCTCTGTCTTCTCTCGTGAGAGTTGTACTGCATGTTTTGTGTTCCCTATTATGTAGCACAGATTTTATGCATGAAAAGTGGTCATTAATTACATAAAGATGATGATAAACACAGATGATGTTGTGAGATCTCTCAGATGATGGGGCTATAAGTGACTTAGGGCACCTCTGAGGCAATAAACTATTACCAGTGTGACAGGATGGGATGGAGACAAAGGTAGAGAGACGCAAGTTTTATATAAGATGAAAAAATTCCTGCCATATTTTCTTAAAAAGTAGGAAGAAAGGTCATATGGAGACCAGAAACACAAGAATTAGATAATTTTGAATAATCAGATAAACCTATCTCAGACAAATATATAAGAACATTTGAGACACCTTTTTACCTTATTAAAAACACTTTGCATGGAAAATTAACATGAGATTAATACTGTTATATGAACAGTACTTCATCTCATGAATTCAAAAATCATGTTTAACATAAGTATCCAATATATTTATGTGATAAGTTTTTACATAGTATAAACAATGTATAAAATTTCTCTCCACCTTAACATCTCTCCATTTCCATCCTTGTTATGAGGTAACCACTGATATACTTTATTGTTTATCCCTCTGAGCTCCTTCCTGTGTGTATATGTGTTTGTGTGTGTGTATCTGAATAAAGACACATATTTTATATCTTTATGTTACAATATATGTTATATATCATTTATTGTATTTATTTTACACATAAGTATTTTATACATCTTTTCATATCACTGATTAAAAAATTCCCTTCATCTTTTTTATAGCTATGTAATAGTCCATTGTATGATCATACATGATGTACTTTTCTCAACATTTTATTTATTTATTTTTATTATGTTCAGTTAGCCAGCATATAGTACATAATTAGTTTTTGATGTAGTGTTCAATGATTCATTAGTTGCATATAACACCCAGTGCTCATCCCAACATGTGCCCTCCTTAATACCCATCACCCGGTTACCCTATCCCCCTCCCCTCCGCAACCCTCAGTTTGTTTCCTGGAGTCCAGAGCCTCTCATGGTTTGTCTCCCTGTCTGATTTCTTCCCATTCAGTTTTCCCTCCCTTCCCCTGTGGTCCTCCGCTCTATTCCTTATGCTCCACATATGAGTGAAACCATATGATAATTGTCTTTCTCTGCTTAACTTAGTTCACTTAGCATAATCCCCTCCGGTTCCATCCATGTTGATGTAAATGGTGGGTATTCATCCTTTCTGATGGCTGTTTCTCAACATTTTATTATGAAAAATTTCAAATATGGCAAAATTGAAATAATTTCACAGCGCACACCATATACTCTCCATTGAAAGTATACCATTAATATTTTACTGTGCTTGCTTGATCACATACCTGTCCACCCTTCTATCCAACAATTAGTGTATCTTATTTTTTCGTGCAGTTTAAAGTGCATTGCAGATATTGATACACTTTTGCCTAAGTATTTCATAGCATACATATCATTTAACAGAGTTCAATATTTGTTTAGGAGTTTGTTTTTTTAATATTAAATTCACATATAATGAAATGCAGATATTTTAAAAGTACATTTGCTGAGTTTTTTTTTTTTTAAGAGAGAGTGCGTGCACATGCGAGCAGTGAGGAAGGGCAGAGAGAGAGAGAATAGGGAGAGAGAGAGAGAATCTTAAGCAGGCTCCTTGCCCAGCACAGAGCCCAATGCGGGGCTTGATCTCATGACCCTTGACATGACCTGAGCCGAAATCAAGAGTCAGATGCTTAGCCAGCTGAACCACATAGGCACCCCCATTTGCTGAGTTTTAACACATGCCTACACCAATGTAACCCAAACTCCTATCAAGATACAGAACATCACCATCTTCCCAAACAAAACGTTTCATGCCTCTTCCCAGTTTCTGCTTCTAGCCTCCCAGAGGGGACTTTTTTCCGAATTTTTTCTATTTTAGATTAACTTTCTATGTTCTAGAATTTCATTTTAACAGACTAACAGATTGTAATTTTGTGTGTGTGTGTTTAGCTTGTTTAACTCAGCATAATGCTTTTTGAGATTTATCTGCATTGTGATTATCAGTAGTTTGTTCCTTTAAAAAATTATTTAAAATTTACTTTGTTATTGATAAAGTCACTTCTGTTTTTTTTTTTTTTGCTCACTGTTAGTTGGTATATCTTTATCCATTCTCCCCTTCCTTTTAGTCTGTTTGTATCTATTTATTTCTTTTTTAATTTTGTATCTATGTATTTAAAGTAGGTTTCTTATAGGCAGCATATTGTTGGGTTTGCTTTTTTTTTTTTTTTATTTATTTGAGAGAGAGAGAATGAGAGAGAGCAAGCACATGAGAGGGGGGAGGGTCAGAGGGAGAAGCAGACTCCCTGCCGAGCAGGGAGCCCGATGCGGGACTCAATCCAGGGACTCCAGGATCATGACCTGAGCCGAAGGCAGTCGCTTAACCAACTGAGCCACCCAGGCGCCCGGGTTTGCTTTTTTAATCTGCTCTTAATCATCTTTAATTTGGTTGTTGAGACCATTTATATTTAATGTGATTGTTAATATGGTCGGATCTAAAAATGCCATTTTGCTATTTGTTTTTTGTCTTATCCATTCTTTGTTTCTTTTGCCCTTTTTTTCTTTCTTTTGGATTGAGTATTTTTATGATTCCATTTTATCTCAGTTATTGGCTTGTTAACTGCAGTTTATTATTCTATTATTTAGTGTTTGCCTTAGAGTTCATAGCACACATCTTTAACTTATCACACATATTCCAGCAATTGATTACATTTCACATGTAGTATAAGAACCTTACAGCAGTATACTTAGATTCGTTTCCTCCCAGTCATTGTGCCATTGTTTTTGTTTGTTTAACTTATGCTATAAACCCCCCAATACGTTATGGTCATTTCTCCTTTAAGGAGTTTTAAATAATAAGAGAAAAAGCCTTTTGTATCTACCCGTGTAGTTACTGTTTCCAGTGGTCTTCATAATATTTGTGTAAATCAGATTTCCGTGTGGTAATCATTTTTCTTCTGCCTGAAGGACTTTCTTGAACATTTCTTATAATGTAGTCCTGCTGGTGAGGAGTTCTTTCAGCTTTGTATGTCTGTAAAAATGTTTATTTTGCCTTCCTTTTGCAAAGGTATTTTTTTCTGGGTATGGAATTCTAACTTGATATTTTTTTCTTTTAGTACTTTAATGATATTGTACCAATGTCTTCTGGTTTGCATTTATTGTGAGGAGAATCTTCTATCATCCTTATTGTTATTCCTTTGTGTGTAAAATGTCTTATTTCTTCTGGATGTTTTTAGATTTTCCCCCTAAGCTAGTAAATTTCATTATGATGTGCTTTGGTGTCATTTTCTTCATGTTTCTTTTGCTTGGGTTTTGTTGAGCTTCTTGGAATTGTGGGTGGTTTTCATCAAATTTGGATAACTTTTTGCTATTTTTTTTTCAGCTTTTTTGGTCTTCCTTTCTAGAAGTTTATATGGATCTTGTTAATGTTTTCCTTTTCTCTAATTATCATCAATTCTTTCTCTAGCTTATTGAACATATAGAATTCAGTTATATTATAAATGCCCTGTCTACTAATCATCTGTCATTTTTAGGTTGATATTGATTTTTTCCCCTCTTTATTAAAGGTTGAATTCTTTTGCTTCTGTGAATGCGTAGTCATTCTTTGTTTGGAAGCCAAACCATGAATTTTACCTAAATGGGTGGCTGTATATTTTTGTATTCCTATAAATATTCTTGATTTTTGTTCTGCGACACAGTTCAGTTACTTGTAAATAGCTTGACCCTTTTAGGTCTTGCTTTTAAGCTTTGTTAGGTGAGGGACACCTGGGTGGTGCAGTCGGTTAAGCATTCAACTCTTGGTTTCAGCTCAGGTCATGATCTCAGGGTCCTGGGATCGAGCCCCACATTGGGCTCCATGCTTAGTGTGGAGTCTGCTTGAGATTCTCTCTCACTCTCTTTCTTCCCCTTCTGCTCATGCTCTCTTTCTTAAAATAAGTAAATAAAATCTTTAAAAAAAAAAAGAGCTTTGTTAGGCGGAACCAGAGCAATGTCTGTGGCTAATCTGTCCCCTTTTACTGAATCTAATTACTGAATCTACCTAATGACTGGTGAATCATAAAACATTTTTTTCTGGCTGGTGGGAAGAGGGACTATTTTTGACCTACCTTGCTTGAACTCCAAGTATTGTTCCCTCTACTCCATTTGGGTCTTTTCCCTAGACTACAGTAATTTCCCATATGTGTGATGATCAGTATTTAGCTTAAGACTCCAAGAAGACTCTGAGTTTTCTTTGTGTAGTTTTCTATTCTTCCGTATTCTGTCCTGCCAACATTAGCCACCTTTACCTCCTAGATTTCCAATTTCTGTCACCTCAGCTCAGAGAGACCATCAACTCCACCTGGTTTTCCCTCCCTGCATCAAAGTTAATATCATTTCATATGGACATTTAGTTTCTCCAGTTTTATTTGTTAAAGAGACTTCCCATTTCCCACTATATTGCTTTGACACCTCTGTCAAATACCACATGCCTGTAAGTTATGGGTCTATTTCTGGGTTTTCTACTTTTTAACTATCCTTTTAAAAATTGATTCCCTACTGGGAATCATTTTTGCTTTATAAAAGTGAATATCACCTGCTAATTTGCAGATATTTTCAAGGAACTAGTACATATAGATTTGTATCAACATTTTGTATTTGGTTACCATTAAATTTTTATATGACTTACATATGCTGTAGTATGTGAGATTGCACCTTGTCTATTACTGCTAGTACTTAGATGCTTTGTGTATTATTCCAAAAGGCTCTAAAGACTCAAATTACAATAGATAATTTCCCATTTTTTGCTCTGCTAAATTTTATTTTAAAAGTTCCCCCAGAATTATCATTGCCAAAAATGCAGTGTTAGTTGCCTACTTATGATATGTAAGCTAAACTAAAACAAATTTTTTTAGAAATATCCTTCTCTATTTTTAAACCATATGGACGTTTATTTTATGACTTTTTTTTCTGTTTAATTAAATTTATAGAAACAAAATATTATTAATTTATATTTCTTCTCTTTTGTACACCCCAAATTATTGCTTAAGAATCTTGGTTTTCAAAAATTTGCTTAAAAAAATTTTACAGAAGTATGATTTTTTCTATTTTTATATTCCTTGAAACTATAATTCATAAATTTTATTATTTTTTATTGAAGAATAGTTAACATGCAATATTATATTACTTTCAGGTATACAACATAGTGATTCAACATTTATATAAATAACAAAGTAACCAAGATATCTATCTAGGTATCATTTGTCACCATACAAAGTTGTTACACATAATTGACTATATTTTCTATGCTGTACATTGTATCCCCTTGTTCTATTTATTTTTTAAGTAAATGTTTGTACCTTTTAACCTCTACCCCTATTTCCTTTATCCTCCCTACCCCCACCCCTCTGGAAACCACCAGATTATTCTCTGTATCTATGAGTCTGTTTCTGTTTTGTTTTATTCATTTGTTTAGTTTTTGGATTCCACATATAAGTGAAATCATACATATTTGTTCTTTTCTCTCTGACTTACTTCATTTAGCATATGGACCCTCAGTGTCCATCCATGTTTTTGCAAATGGCAAGATTTCCTTCTTTTTTATGGCTGAGTAATTTCCTTTGTGTGTGTATGTATGCGTGTGTGTGTGTGTGTGTGTATTACACACACACACACACACAATGCAGGCATTAGTGGCATTGACCACTCCTCTGTGGTCCGAAATCTCCATATTACTTTTAACTCCCCAAACATTTAACTACTATTATTAGCCTACTGTTGACTGGAAGCCTTACTAATAGCATAAATAGTTGATTAACACATATTTTGTATTTATATGTATTACATGATGTATTCTTACAATAAAGTAATCTAAGAGAAAAGCAAATGTTAAGAAAATCATAAGGAACAGAAAATATACTTACAGTACTGTACTGCATTTATTGAAGAAAGTCCACATATAAGTGGATCCAAGGCTGTTCAAACCTGTGTTGTTCAAGGTTCAATTGTATACCACATCCTCTTTACCCATTCATCTATCAATGGACACTTAGGTTGCCTCAGTATCTTGGCTATTGTAAATAATGCTGCAGTGAACATAAGGATGCATATTACTGAATCTGGGCTTTGTTTGTTCTTTGTAGTTCCTTTAGGTGTAGAATTAGATTGTTTAGTTGAGATTTTTCTTGTTCCTTGAGATGGCTTTGCATCACTATAAACTTATCTCTTAGAATTGCTTTTGCTGTGTCCCATAGATTTTGGAGCATTGTATTTTCATTTTCATTTGTCTCAAGGTATTTTTTTATTTCCTCTCTGATTTCTTCATTGACGCATTGATTTGTGTTTTATAGTTTTCTTCTTCAACAAAATGAAACAAAACAATTTTCTTCTGCTTGATTTTTAGTTTCATACTGTTGTGTTTGGAAAAGGTGCTTGATACGATTTCAGTTTTCTTAAATTAATTGAGATTTGTTGTGTGGATTTTGTATGATCCATCCTGGAGAATGTTCCATGTGCACTTGAAAAGAATAAGTATTCAGCTGTTTTTGGATGGAATGTTTTGTATATATCTGTTAAGTCCATCTGGTCTAATGTGTTTTTAAGGCCAATGTTTCCTTATTGACTTTCTATCTAGATGATCTCTTCATTGATGAAAGTAGAATATTAAAGTCCCCTACTATTATTGTATTACCATCTCTTTATGTTTGTTAATATTTGCTTTATGTATTTAGGTCTCCCTATGTTGGATTCATTGATATTTATAGATGTTCTATCCTCTTGTTTTATGTATGTAATCATTATCTTATGCCCTTCATTGTCACTTGTTACAGTCTTTTAAAATCTTTTTTTTTTTTTTTGCTGTAAATATTGCCACTTCAGCCTTCTTTATGTTTTCCGTTTGCTTGGAATATCTTTTTCCAACCCTTCACTTCACTTGTCTCTGTGTGTCTTTAGGTCTAAAGTGAGTTTCTTGTAGGCAGCATATAAATGGGCCTTGTTTTTTAATCCATTCAACCACCCTATGTCTTTTGTTTGAAACATTTAGTTTATTTACATTAAAAATAGTTATTGATAGGTATGTACTTATTGCCATTTACTTGATTGTTTTCTGTAGTTTGTAGTTCTTCTGTGTTACTGTTTTCTCCTTTTGCTCTCTTCCCTTGTGATTTGGTGACTTCCCTTAGTGTCATGCTTATATTCCTTTCTCTTTATTTTTTCTGTACCTATATAGGTATTTGGTTTATAGGTACCATGAGGTTCATATATAACATCCTCTATATCTAGCAGTCTGTTTTAAATTGAAGGTTCAAGCACATTCTCAAAGCACTGCGTTTTTTATCCCTCTCCCCAACATTTTGTTTCTGATGTCATGTTTTACATCTTACTATTTTGCTAATCTCTTGACTAATGATTGTCCTGCTCAGAGGGGAGCCTGCTTCTCTCTCCTCTCTGCTTGTGCTATCTCTGTCTCTCTCAAATAAATAAAATCTTTAAAAAGAAAAAAGAGGAGTTGGGTTCTTTTCTTCCTACTCTGCCATCTTGATCCTGCCCCCCACAATATTTTTTTAAGATTTTTTTCATTTATTTTAGAGAGGCTGTAGAGGGAGAAGGAGAGAAACCCAAGCAGACTTGGCACTGAGCCCAGAGTCAACACAGGGCTTGATCTCACGACCCTGAGCCAAAATCCAGAGTCAGATGCTTAACCAACTGAGCCCCCCCATAAGTATTTTAAAAGGCATTTATCTATATTTTTACTACTAATATTAGTAATATCATTCATCATTCATTCTTTCTATTATCATTTTCTGAAAGTCTTTTATTTTTTTAAATATTTTTTAAAAGATTATTTGAAAGAGAAAGAGAGAGTGAGCAGGGGGAGGGGCAGAGGGAGAGAAGCAAACTCCCTACCGAGCGCAGAGCCTGACCCGATCTCATTCTTATGACTCTGAGATCATGACCTGAGCCAAAATCGAGTCAGATGCTTAACCAACTGAGCCACCAGGGCATCTGAAAGTCTTTTAAAGCATCATCAGCATATGTTCTTTGTGATAGGACCTTTCTTTCTTGTGGTGTGTTCAATTGGATAGATCTTAAATCTGTTTTATAATACAGTAATAGTATGTTCTATCAATGAAATTTGTTTTTTGTGTCTTTTTTTATAGAACATACAGTGGGAGAGGTTATTAAATTAGATCCTGGTGGATCTCCAAGAAAAGTCTGGGGGAGAAGCCCTACAGATTCAGTTCTAAAGATACTTGGAGAAGCTGAACTACAACTTCAGACAGAACTATTGGAAAACACAACTGTTAGAAGTGGTAAGCAGAAACAAAGGTGTTTTTCTGTACTAGAAGTAATGTTATTAAAATTCAAATTGTATTTTTTAAGATGTATTTAAGTGAATTATTTATGATAGATTATCTTTTTGTCATAATAATTTTCTAGTTAGGTGGAAAATAGTTATATTTCTGGGGAGTTGTCTCAAAATTGTAGTCTTGAATTTTGACCTGACATAACCTGGATGGGATCTTAAAAGAAAAGGAAAAGGAAATGTGTTTAGGGTGAGCCAGAAAAGTAGAACAGTCAAAAAAACATCATTTTACATGAAGAAAGATAATAGGAGCAATGCATGTGGATTCTGGAATTAGGTTGAATAAATATATCTGTAGTAGTTATGACAGACATTATCCAAGGACTGGGGAGGATGAATTGTGAGGCAGGAGGAAAACATTTATATTCCCAAAGTATTGTGGGTCTTGGTATTACAGCTATGCATATGAAGAGTGTCCATGTATAAAATAGGTGTTTTCAGATTTTCAAGCCTTATTCGAATGAGAGGCTGAATATGGTTTTTCTTTTTTCAGAATTTTTGTCTAGACATGAATGTATGTCACTCCTATGTTCTCTCTCAGTCTCTTTTTTCCCTCTCTTTAACTCTATCTCTGTCAACTTTGTGCATACTTTTATCCTTGCCTTTTTCATGCAATATTATCACTTATTTATAAGTTTTCATTTATGTCTGTCCTGAGAGCAAGGATGATCTTTTTACTCTTTGTAGCTTTACTGCTTAACACATAGTAGCAGGAAGAGCTAATTAGTGTTCCATAAATAGTTGGTAAATTGAATTTAAAAAAAGTAAGACAAGTCATAAATTACTTCTCAGTTCCAGTTCTCTGAAGATGGATTATTTAAATATGGAGAATATTGAATATAGAGAATTATTGGAATTAGAGTGATGCTCACATTTGAAACTGACAAAAAATAACACAGGAGGTAAGGTTATTCACAGTGTGTATAAAGAAATTAGCCAGATACTAATATGCCAGTGAGATAAACCTGTACACATATTATTAAAGTGTAAAAAGTAGATTCTTTTTTTTTTTTTTTTACTAAAGGTGAATCTACTAGCTATTAATCATTCTACCATTTTCTTTAAAAAAAAAAAAAAGAAATTTGAAGAGATGTGTGTATAATTACTTGTTTGAAAAAAGGATAAGTACACAAAATGTGTGTATTTGTAATTAACTTTTTTTTTTCCCCCACGCTCTTGTGTTTGGAAATTGTGCAGTTGTATGGCAGACACTGATCAAAAACAAAAATACTAGTAACTTAATATTCTTACATCTTAGTCTGATCCTATTGTCAAAATGCCTCAGACTTTATTCAGGGAAAAAAAATGCTTCTGGGCTAAAACATTTTCAAAAATAATGATAAAAAATGGAGATTATTTTGTAATCTAAAGGTCCTTTATGTGTTTATCCTCATTAGAACTATTACTTTAAAAACATCAGATTCTGATTCCTTTTATGTAAAATCATTATTGCTTAAATATATATAATTTGGTATATAATAATACTTAGGCAATGTGAAAGCAGATCTTCTCCGTAGTCAAATAATTCATCTTCAGAGAATTGGAACTGAGAAGTAATTTATGACTTGTCTTACTTTTTTAACTTCAATTTGCCAACTATTTATGGAACACTAATTAGCTGTTCCTACTACTTAGTGTTAAGCACTGAAGCTACAAAGAGTAAAAAGATCATCCTTGCTCTCAGAGGACAGACACAAATGAAAACAAATAAATGATAATATTGCATGAAAAGGGCAAGAATAAAAGTATGCACAAAGTTAAGAGGTAGTGTAGAGATGTTTAAGTAACTAACTTTATCTTGGAAAAAAACTTCTTAGAGTTGTCATCATCTGCCCTCTTTAATTTTTCCCTAACTATATTTACTTAGAATATGCTCTGTGCTAGGATTTTAACACAAAGAAGTCACAGTTTCTTATCACTAGGAAATCAAATATGGCAAAATCTATGTTGGAAGTGTTGTGTGTGTAATGGTATGGAGCCACAGATTAGGAGGCTTTATGTTGTCAGTACTGTATAGTTTCATTAAGGATGATAAATAAGGTCCTTTGGGTCAGAGAAAGCCACAGAGAGAGCAAGTGATCTTGAGCTAGGCCAAAGATAAAGAGCTCAATGGGTAAATAAGGGAGAGAATGAAGTTCCAGGCAATACAAAATCCCAGTATATGCAAAGACAAAAAGGGTTTATTTAATATGTATGTGGGAGCAGCTTTATGCTGTAGAAGGAGAATGGCCTTTGGTCCAGTTCTCGTTCGATCACTTGCCCAGCAACCATGGGCAAGTTCCTCTGACTTTGACATTCAGTTTCTCCATGTGTAGAATGGAAACACTGTTATGAAGGATTGTTTTTGTGGATTTAATGAAGAACATAAAGGATCTGCAATATTCTCTAGTCTTCCAATCTTTATGCCAGTTTCTCATCAATTTGATTGTCTTAAGTTCTTTTTGTAGTAGAAGGGCTCATGTGAACAATACAACCAGAAATTTTGAATGTTTGTAGCAGTTTGTCTTAAGATTTTCTTCTTTTTTTTTTTTTTTAAGATTTATTTATTTATTATTTGAAAGAGAGTGCGGGGTGGGGAGGGAGAAAGAGAATCTCAAGCAGCCTCCCCACTGAGCACTGACCCTCATGCAGGGCTCAGTCTCATGACCCTGAGATCATGACCAGAGCCAAAATCAAGAGTTGGATGCCTAACCAACTGAGCCATCCACCTGCCCCTTAAGACTTTATTCTTAAAGGTCAGTTTGGCTGAATATAAATCCTTGGCTTACATTTCCATTCCTTGAATGTTTTATTATATAAAACTCCATAGTATTCTGGCATAAAGCATAGCTATCAGAAATCTGATGACAATCTTATTTTCTTTTTGCTTGGATACTCAAAGGATATCTTTCTTTTTCCTTAAAGTTTTTAAAAATATATTTTTCTAGTAAGTGCTGTGTTTTTTTTTTAAGATTTTACTTATTTGACACAGAGAGATAATGAGAGGGAACACAAGCAGGGGAGAGCAGGAGAGTGAGAAGCAGGCTTCCCGCAGAGCAGGGAGCCAGATGCGGGGCTCAATGCCAGGACCCCGGGATCACGACCTGAGCTGAAGGCAGATGCTTAACGACCGAGCCACTCAGGCGCCCCTGTTTTTTTTTCTTTTCTAATAGTTAATTTGTTTTAGAGTAATCTGTGGTTCATAGCAATATTGAATAGAAAGGACAGTTTCATTATATCCCCTCCTCTGACATATACACAGCCTCCCAGCCATCAATATCCCTTCTCCCGAGTGGTGCATTTGTTAAAATTGATGAACCAACATTGACACATTATGATCATCCCAAATCCATGGTAGACATTAAAGTACACTCTTGGTGTTATACTTTTCATGGGTTTTGACAAATATATAATGATACGTATCCACCATTATAATATCATACAAAACAGTTTACTGCCCTAAAAAAATCTCTGTGTTCCTCCCTCCTCTTGAACTCCTAGCAACCACTGATCTTTATACTGTCTTATTAGTTTTGCCTTTTCTAGAATGTCATGGTTGGAATCATACAATATGTAATCTCTTCAGACTGCTTCTTCAGTTAGTAAAATGCATTTACATTTCCTCCATGTCTTTTCATCATATGATACCTCATTTTTTTTTAGTGCCAAATAATATTGCATTGTAGGGATATACCACAGTTTGTTTATGTAGATAGTTATTCAGTAGGTGTCATTCACCGATTGAAAGACATCTTTTTTTTTTTAACCCGTTCTTTTATTTTTTATTTTTTATTTTTTTTTAATTTTATTATGTTATGTTAGTCACCATACAATACATCATTGGTTTTTGATGTGGTGATCCACGATCCATTGTTTTCGTATAACACTCAGTGCTCCATGCAGTACGTGCCCTCCTTAATACCCATCACCAGGCTAACCAATC